CCCACCTTAGCCCTCCCCCCCCCCATGGGTTGAGCTGAGGTGAGAAAAGTTGAGGAAATAGTACCTCTAGATGGCCAGAAATGACACTTTTAGTAAAATTCATCATCATCACATCACCATTAGTCAAAATGAAGCGCCAAAAAAAATTCTCATGATCTTATATCAGGGATTTTTGGCAACCATAGAGATCTTATTGATGTCTGTGGGATATACCATAGAAAACAAAGCTTAAAAACATTGTCTTTGAGTATGTACTTTAGATAGGCATACTCCAAAAACGTGATTTCACAACAATTACCTCAGCCCCACCATGGCTGGGGCTGAGGTGAGAAAATATGAGGAAATAGTACCTCTCGAGATGGCCGGAAATGACACTTTTATATAGTAAAATTCATCATCCTCACATCACCATTATAGTCAAAATGAAACGCCAACAAATTTCTCATGATCTTTTATCAAGGATCTACTTAATATCCAGGACAACTTAGGCCTAACTATAGCTTACTAAGCTTTAACTATACATACTATAATAATTATGATCAACAAATCACAACTTTTTTTCGCATTTAGCACAATTTTCTTCACTTTTAATTGCTATTAATATTATTATCAATTATTACTATCATCATCATTGTTATTATTATTATTATTACTATTAGTATTAGTATTATTAAACAAAAATTTAAAGAAATTTGCAAAAGGATAAAAATGAAATTGAACCACAGTATCGCATTTCTATATTTAAAGACCTGGCCTGAGATTTATGGATTTAGGCCTATGTGTTCTATTAGGCCTATGTATAACGTTTACTGATGCATATTTACATGTTTTAGAAGATTTATTTTGAGTGATCCCAGGAAAGAATTTGTATTGGCTCAAGAATAAGCTTTAAAATTTTAACACTGTGTACAAAGGGGGGAGCCGCGGCTCCCACTCCCCACCCCCTGGATACGTCCCTGGCGTATCCTCTTATCAGAAAGAAATAGACTATTGGGCAGGAGAAACAGACACTATTTTCACAGGTAAACCATATGGAGAAGAAAACATGGTTCAATCGTAGTGGGAAATAAAAGGAAGAACAAAACGTGACCATTTGAGTAACAACTGACATTAAGCAAGCCACCGAAGAGAAGCAATATTTTATCAAAAAATATGAATCCAGAATATATCGTTGGAGAAGGGGTTTAAAGTTTTGTCTCTAGGTGTACTGCCCAATCACCGTCAGAAGGACCCCACTGGAAATAAGTCTTCTTCTAGACTTTCGTGGGCTATCCTTGGAGTTTACACCGAAAAAATCCAATCCAATCCAAGTTTCAGATGGTTTGAGTCAACACCTGCTTCAGCCACACCATGCCGTGGCACTCATACTTAAAATTGCTCTACAAAGTGACTTAATGTTGATAAATAGAAATTCAATTTCACGCAAAAGCACATACGCTTAATTCAGCCTCAGATATTGGTTATCATAATCTTGTCATATACTTCACTGTTTCAACTTCGAACCTAGAAACTTAGTTGGTATGCATCTAAGCATAGTTTAACAATATCATTATCAAGAAGAAAATTAATTTTACCTATTGTATTTTTTATTTTGCAAAATTGGAGGCATGATGTGGGTAGTTTTATATCATCGTATATTTTTAGACTTAAATGTGCTCTAGAGCGCAATTTCACAATTAGAAAGGGGAAAAGAATTTCTTTTCCGATAATGGATTTATCGGAAGAGTATTATCAATATTTTGTTCGGAATATTACTAATGGAGTAATATATTATCAATATTTTGTTGTGAATATTACTAATGGAATAAATGCTAGTGTTCCAAAAGTCAAACAAGCTAATCCGACATTACAAAAAATAATGGCCAGCTGTCGATTAACACGAAACGACTCGGCCTAGCCAAACGAGGCCTATCATCATAGGTCTCGTTTGCTCTGTCGGCCAGAATTTGGCACATCCTCTACTGTGGCCGGCGGTCAACTCTTGATAGCTTGAGGTTGCAGGTTCTAATACCATTGTATTAACGTTGTATTAACATTTTTCTCTGCTTTTAATTGTATATATTGTATAGTATGTTTTTATTTGTTGGCAATGAAAATTAATTAATATTACGTATAATATAGTAAGAGACGCTGTTACTACTGTCTCTTATACACATCTAGATGTGTATAAGAGACAGCCCACTCCCCACCCCCTGGATACGTCCCTGGCGTATCCTCTTATCAGAAAGAAATAGACTATTGGGCAGGAGAAACAGACACTATTTTCACAGGTAAACCATATGGAGAAGAAAACATGGTTCAATCGTAGTGGGAAATAAAAGGAAGAACAAAACCTGACCATTTGAGTAACAACTGACATTAAGCAAGCCACCGAAGAGAAGCAATATTTTATCAAAAAATATGAATCCAGAATATATCGTTGGAGAAGGGGTTTAAAGTTTTGTCTCTAGGTGTACTGCCCAATCACCGTCAGAAGGACCCCACTGGAAATAAGTCTTCTTCTAGACTTTCGTGGGCTATCCTTGGTGTTTACACCGAATAAATCCAATCCAATCCAATCCAAGTTTCAGATGGTTTGAGTCAACACCTGCTTCAGCCACACCATGCCGTGGCACTCATACTTAAAATTGCTCTACAAAGTGACTTAATGTTGATAAATAGAAATTTAATTTCACTCAAAAGCACATACGCTTAATTCAGCCTCAGATATTGGTTATCATAATCTTGTCATATACTTCACTGTTTCAACTTCGAACCTAGAAACTTAGCATCTAAGCATAGTTTAACAATATCATTATCAAGAAGAAAATTAATTTTACCTATTGTATTTTTTATTTTGCAAAATTGGAGGCATGATGTGGGTAGTTTTATATCATCGTATATTTTTAGACTTACATGTGCTCTAGAGCGCAATTTCACAATTAGAAAGGGGAAAAGAATTTCCTTTTCGATAATGGATTTATCGGAAAAGTAGGCAGGCACGAACAATTTAAATATGGTACTTTATAGATATCCGAAAGTATTTTTTATTAGACATATTTTTGATATATATTATTGTCATTGTAATAGGATATTTAGTGGAAAATTGACCTAAAAATGTTATTTTAACTTTGAACAATAATATTGTAAGGCTCTTTCTCCTGAAAGTTGTAAAATTTCGTATCTTGACAGCCAATGACCATTCATACATTGTCACTATAACTGTCACTGTCATTTTCATTACTATTATTATTATATTATTATTATTACTATTATTATTATTATTATTATTATTACGGTATCATTATTAAGGTATTAATAAAGAATAAATACATAAATATTTTAACTAATTCCCTTCAGAAATATAGTATAATAGCATTAGAAATGCAGTGTTTAGATGTTTTATGATTTACAAAGCGTGTTTCATGGAATTAGACAATCAGCGTTGCGTTTAGGTACAGGTTTTAATAGCAGTCTCATATCATTTCTTATAACATAAAAATATCTACGAACTACTAAAATGATATGAAACAGCTGCAGCATTGTTAATTATTACGGGGAAATATCTTGTATAAGTTAACACGAATTGTAATAGGGCCAACAGGACAATATATTTTAGTCAGGAACAACTCATTGAGAAACCAAATTCTGAGTGTGCTTGACGAAAGTCGAATGTTTTTGTTAAGCGACTGTGCCTGAAAACCGAGTGGGCTTGAAAATCCATATTTTTATAACAGCAACTGACTGAACACGGCTACGGAATGATATACGTAAACGTCAACAACATGTGGTCGGGAACAGGTACCGGTCCAGTGATAAACGTCGGTAAAAGTAATTATTTTTCCCACAATTAATCTGAAATATGGATTGATATTCACTTCTTGAGATTTAGACTTTGAAGATCAATGTTGCTACAGTTTTTCAGACCGTTAGGTATCGATCCCAGACGTGTATTGAAGACCTCCGTCTTGAGTTGTGTCCAATGGGTTTTGAAATAAGCGTCATTATAATGTAGATTATGCTGTTGTTTTTTAATCTATCAAACTAATAATTTAATACTAACCATTTTCTTTTTTCTTGCTTTCTGCATACAAACCTTTTCTCTGATGTAATTTATCATATACCATCCAGTTTTAAGAGTAGGAATCACGTTGAAGGGTGGTGGGACTGTTCCTCTGCCTTCAAAATAACTCATCCAAAGCTTCGATCTTGAAAATTTCCACTGAATGTCAGCATCCTCCTGCAAGATGGACAATAATGAAGTCACAATTAACTAAGGCCAACTGCAACTTACACCACATGGAACCATGCTTTGGGACTCACAAGTCTGGATGTGATTTAATTTTATCGATGATACTAAGGTTAAATTCTGGTAAATTTGTACACAAAGAAATATCTAACAGGCATAATTACAAGCAAATATACTTTAAAAATATGACTATGTTAATTAAAAGATTAATAAGCCATCAGATTTAAAAGTTTCGGATTAAAGAAATAATTTGTATTTAGGTTAGCTTTGTTTTTATTAAGCCTGACCGTCTATTAAACCAACCTAATGATGATGATGATGATCAACTTTGTTTTACATGTAAAATATTGTCTTTTTTCCACACAAAATGATTTATGGGTGTAAATTTTGTGAAAAAATATGTTTTATGTGATATTATTATGTGATTATTTATTGGCCAGCATAAGTATTACAGGTTTACATCCGGGTAATTTTGTCAGATTAAGATTTATATTATTTACATGAAACAAGAGGTGTTAGAATTTAGTAGCAGATTGCTAGCAGTAAAACTCCAGAGTAAATATCCATGGTACGAAACTTGAATTGCAAACCAGAGGTACCTGAATATATATAAGTGAAAATGAACTGTTATACTACTTTTTATAGAGTCAATTCCTTATTTTTTAGGTCTGCGGAATGGACATTTAGTAGACTGATGTGAGGGATCAACATACCTCGACACGCGTATAGGTACTACTCATCATAGCAATAAGTACATTAAGAAGAACGACTATAGCAATAATATGGTACGCAGCATACAGCAAAGTCGCCACACTCTCAGTAAACCCATGTTCAATTCCACTATGTAGCCGAAGGATATCAACATCAGGAAGTCCAAATAAAGCCCAAAATAATGTTGCCATTGTATTCAAAAGCCTACAAATAATAAGAGTTTGTATTATATACCGACAAAATACAAGTTGGAATAAACAAATACGTATTCACTCTTATCTTCTCTTCACCGCCAATGTCGTCATTCATCATCATCATCGTCATCATCATCATTATCCTCCTCTTCTTCATCATCATATCAAATGTATAAGAAGTAAACGATAACAAAAAAAATCTGCTTGAAATGGAGACTGATGAGACGTTTTATAATTTGTTTAGCGAACCTAACGCATGCTGATAATTGTGATTTCGAATAAAAACAAAATTTTATTTTTGGCCAGTTAGCGCACCTCCCGCCACAAAAAAAAAATCAAAATTTAAGAAAAATAATATTTTATTTATTTTTGAATTCCACAAATATTAAGAAATATATTTCTTTCCAAATATAGATTTTAAGCATTTATTACGCCGTTGACTTCATATCCTCTATGATCATGTGACCCCCAGTGAAAGCAAAAGAACATTTATTTTAATTTTTTTTTTACTTCGGACACTCACAATTTTTGTTGTTGTTTCTCCTAAAAAATAAAAAAAAGAAGAAGTGGTCGAAGCGCTGTGGCGGGACATAGATCGAATTTATAAGATAACTTACGTTTTAAAGGGTGAATAACATCCATCGCTACCTGCCCCTGAACAGGAGAGAAGATTTTGATTTGAATAATACCAGTAAAGTTGGTACATGCCGATAGAAAAGGCAAACCAGACAAACGAAAATATCAACAAAAACTTTAATATGTCCAACATCATTCCTCCGAGTGAGATCTGCATTGGTCCCACGTGCCGATTCATTACTGTTAAACATATTGGTCGCAATAGACTAAGAACTTTGGCAATTGCAAAAAGCGCTTCAGAAACGAGAACAGGAGTAAATGCAGACCATTTCGCTCTTCCTATAAGGTTAATGGATTTTGGTTCACTTTTACTTTTTCTTTTTCCGATAGATGTTGATCCTGAAGAAGTGTCACTACTAGATAATGTTTTTACTTCGTCTGATAGGTCATCAATTTTATCATCTAATGACCGTAACAAATTATCTAGTGCCATTAAACTACTGTTGACATCTTGGTTAAATTCTGACTGTTCATTTTTAAGACTTTCCACTTGTTTGTTTAACTCATCAATCTTTTCTTGAATAACATCTAATGGATTATTAGTAAAGGCGGGTGTTGTTGTCACTTGACCACTGCTAGTATAATCAAAGTCATCTGTTGTCCCAAGAAAAGTTGGGGTAATTAAATTCGGAGTTGTGATTGTGAGGTTTGCTGCCGGGATGGTTTCTTCGGGTACCTAAAATAAAGAAAGTTTCCAATCGCTGCATTATGGGTGCTATTCACTTGATAAATTAATATATTATCAATATTTTGTTCTGAATATTACTAATGGAGTAATATATTATCAATATTTTGTTGTGAATATTACTAATGGAATAAATGCTAGTGTTCCAAAAGTCAAACAAGCTAATCCGACATTACAAAAAATAATGGCCAGCGGTCGATTAACACGAAACGACTCGGCCTAGCCAAACGAGGTCTATCATCATAGGTCTCGTTTGCTCAGTCGGCCAGAATTTGACACATCCTCTACTGTGGCCGGCGGTCAACTCTTGATAGCTTGAGGTTGCAGGTTCTAATCCCATTGTATTAACGTTGTATTAACATTTTTCTCTGCTTTTAATTGTATATACTGTATAGTATGTTTTTATTTGTTGGCAATGAAAATTAATTAATATTACGTATAATATAGTAAGAGACGCTGTTACTACCTGAAAGTGAATAACAACACGTAAAACTATTGCTCCCCAATATAAAGACAGCATAACAAAATCCATTAGATTCCAACGATCCTTCGTATACCTTAAACCATAGTACCAAATTTCTTTAACTTCGACCCATGTCAAACCTTTAATGCAAGCAAAAGAGTATGAAAGTACATGTTAGTAAAATGAAATAAATTCAACATCCATGGGCCAAATACTCCCATAAAATCAAGATCGTTGAAAGGATGTCAGGAGTAAAGTTAACCAAAAGTAAGTAAAGTGTATATA